GATAGTGCAGGTTAGGTCAAACATATCCTTATTGATTTTCTGCCTGCTGATCTATCAATTACTGGAAGATGGGTATTGAAATCTCTAGCAGTCATTAATCTGTTTTTGCTTAGCATTCTATCAGCTTTTGCTACAGGTATTTTGATGCTCATTTGTTGGATGTGCTCATGTTAAGGTTTACTATGTCTTTTTGGATAATTTATCCCTCTATTGATAATATAATGCTTCTCTTTATCCCTGATAATTTTTTTCTGAAATCCACTTTGTCAGAAATTAATACAGCTACTGGGCTTTCTTTTTCTTAGTGTTAGTATGGTACACATATCTCCATTTCTTTATATCCTTCTCCATCTCTTTACTATTAACCTATCTCAATGCTCGTAAGGTGGATTTCTCAAGGACAGCATAAAACTGGGCTTTTTTTTTTTTTTTTTAATCCAGTCTGAAATCTTAGTCTTTAGTTAGTGTGTTTAGACCATTCACATTTGTGATTATTGCCATGTGAAGGAGATGGATGTGTGAAGGGACACAGGTTTTGTGGGGGTGAAAGCATTCACCAGAGACAGTATGGAAAGTAGAAAGGCAGATTTATTAAATTACTGCAGGGAAGCAGGAGCAAGAGGAGAACGTATTCCCTGGCCTCTGAGAGGTGTTCTGGGCTCTTTTTTATACTGAGTTTACAATCTGTCTCTTAAGATTTAGGACCAAAGTCTGTCCTAGTGGCTATCTACTGAAGTATCGATCTTAATTAGTCCCTGTATTCCTTGAGAGTTCCCATCAGCCTGTGATGGCTGCAGGTGGGCATATGGCCCTGTCTCAGTAAGTCAGTTGGTTTTCTTATTGGCCCAAGGTATATATATTTTTGGTATTAAAGCCACTTTAAATTCTCTGAATGTCCTGTATCTGTGGTCTGGTCTCTGTAAATAGTTCTGGAAAATTCTCAGTCTATAACTTAAGATAATTTTTCTCCTTTTTGGTATTTCAGTTTTGGAGATTTCTACTGGCCTTTCTTTAAGTTCAGCTTAGCAATGTCCAATCTACTAATGAGTTCGCAAAATGCAGTTTTCCTTTCTGTTAGGTGTTTATTTCTAGCAGTCCTTTTTAAGTGGTTATGTCAATGGACAGAGTGAGGGGCATTCTGAGATCCCTGAACCTGCCTGCTTTAAATGGGCTCTGCCATTGTCTGCATGAATACAAAACATAGTCCTAGTGTGTGAGACCATAAATAGAAAAGACTTTAATAGAATTAGTGTGTGTGTGTGTGTGTGTGTGTGTGTGTGTGTGAGAGAGAGAGAGAGAGAGAGAGAGAGAGAGAGAGAAGAAAGGATATAATTTCCCAATGAATCACCCCAAATTACCCATCTCCTCTTGGGTAAATGCCCAGCCAAACAGGGTTGACCAAAAGTGGGGCCACTGAGGCCCGAAAGCCTGCCACAAGTCTAAGGCACCTTCAGGTGGGGGCCCCTAAGAAAGGGGCAGAAGGGGCCAGGCAAGTCTGGAAGGAAAAGAACAAAATAAAAGTGCAAGTCGTGATAAAGGCTGCGGTTGTCAGCCTCCCCACGAGTCTCTCAGTTTCTTTCAAGTGTCTCCTTGCATAGCCCCAGTATAGGTCCAAGGCGAGTGCAGCTGCTTCTTCACACCTTTCTCTGACATGTGCCTCCTCCAGGTCGTCTGTCCCTAGTCCTTTTCAGCTTCTCCTGGCCTCTCTGCTCTACTCTTCCTTAGATGGGGCAGGAAACATGGACCTTTCCGTTTGTATGAAGATTACAGTTATAGTGATTAGTTTCCATTTCTCTGCTTACGTTATACTCATCTGTTCTTGCATACTGTCTCCGTTTGCATTGCAACCCTTCATCTATTAGTGATAGTTATTTTAAATTCCCTCTCAGATAATTCCAAAATCATGCCATGCTCATTCTGATTCTGGCTTTGTTTCTCCAAGTTGTTTTTTATTGCCTTTTAGGATTCCTAGTAATTTCTTGTAAGTCAGACAAATGTATCAAGTGAAAATAATTTAGTATGTCTTATATTATTCTGATTAGGACTTGGCTGTGTTTAATATTTGTTGTAGTTACAGGTGCCAGTGGGTTCAGATTCCTCAGGTGTCCTTATTTTAGTTTTCCTTTTTGTCTTTGGGCTTCCTTAGGAACTCCTCCTCAGATGAAGTCTGACTCTTTACAGCCTCTCTCAGCTGTTACCTACTGCCATTAACTGGAATCTGTTCTTCAGGTGGTTAAAGTTTGGGGCAGGGGACGGATTTTGTAATCTTATCAGTGAATCTCAGTGGGTCTGTGGTCCTGGTCTGTGCCCTTATGAGTGTTTAACTGCTCCTCTTTCACCTTTTTAGGTGAGACAGGAAGAGTAGAGGGTTGGAGTTAGAAATGCCCTTCCCCCTCTACCAAAGCTTTTTTCCTCTGGAGCGGAACCTTTGTTATGGAGAATGTGCTCTGTGATGACTCCTCCTTTCTCCCCTGGAGAGCCATGAGTGGGTATTTTGTGGCTTTTAGTGAAAACATGGTCAGTTTCTCATGGTTAGACTTGTGCAAGCAGGGGATCAGAAGTTTCTCGTTCAAGTTAGTTTACTCTCACCCTACCGGTTTACTCTAGCTACTTCTGTTTTAGGTGAACAGATCTTGCCTGTGTTTGAGGATTCTCCTATCTCTCTCCAGATTTCAGGGTTATGATTTAACCAGTGATTTTAGTTCACTCTGATGGGTCCAAGGAACGCCATTGATTTTCAGTTTTCTCAACTTTTTCTTGTTCGGGTGGGAGTGCTGACTTCTTAATGTGTTGGAGTTGAAACTGGAAGTCCCCTCATTGCTTTGCACTTGCTCCCTCCCCATTTTCCCACCAGTTGAAGGGGCTGGGTTGGTTGTGTTGGCATAAAATGTCCCACCCATTGCAAAAGCTCCTGTCTTGAAGAAAACAATCACCACTCTTGCCAATCACAAAGCTTGCTTCTGTGTAGTGGCTGCTCTAAGTTACTGCACACCCTTCCCGCTTCCTTCTTTTGTTGCTTGGGTTTTTCTTTTTACCAAACTAGATATGGATTCTACAACTTTGGTATGTGTATGTGTGTGGGCTGGGTGGGGTTTTTAAAGCCTTTTTCTAATCTTCAGCAGCTTCTTTATCAAGCCTCTCCCATGTAGTCTTTGTTGCTTTGGCACTCTTAAAGCAAGTAGATCTTTAACTCTGTCCTTGGCACCCCTCCTCCCCAAACTGTTAATCTAAGAGCTCCCCTCAACTGCTACTCAGATTCTATATTAAAGTAACAAACTGGATCCATTGTACCTAAAGACATTATTGGGTTACTTGGCCACTTTTGAATGGAATCTGAGGTTTAGATAATAGGAATGTACCAGTGTTAACTTTTGGATGGGTGGTTGTTGTGTTGTGGCTGTATAGGAGGATATCCTTGTTTGCGTAGTACCATATCTGGGAGGTGATGTGGTGTTAATTAGTAACTTACTCCCTAATCATGGCAATTGTCTTTTTTATATTGCGTTTGTTTAAAAAATATTAGTTGCTTAGGCAACCTGTGGCCTTTTTCAGACTCACGATTTAAGTATGTGTAAAGCAAGGTAAAGGGACTTAATTCTAATCTCAGCCATGTTGATTCCAGGTAATAAAAGATTGGGAAGGAGCAGTGTGGGTGTTTTTGTTTTGTCTGCTGTTGATTCACGATGCTGTTACGACAGTGATAAACCTTTACTTTGTGTGCCTTATGGCCTGTGAAAGACTTTGATATATATATTTTTTTTTTTAAGATTTCTACTTTGATATATTTTTTAATGCTTTTCATAGCACTTTTCTGGAGTAGGGTGGGATGATTCTTTTACCTTTAAGATGATGGTTAAATAATACTAAGCAATACTTTTATTTTTTTTGTGTGTATAATAATAGTTATTTTTATTATTATGTAAACTTAAAATGCATCCCTGTTTATTCAACACATGTTCCTAAACCACAGCCTTAAAGAAATCAGCCCGCATATTATCAACATTTCTTACTACAGTATTTTTTTTTTAATCTTTGTCCTTCTTTTTTTTTTAATAATAAATTTTATTTTTATATTCCCCATACAATTGCAACCCCCCCATTCTGATCCCAATCCCTCCCCTCCCGTCCCCCACCCCCCCAAAAGTGTCTGTTTCATAGTTTTTTGTTGATTCAGATTTTCACTTTCTTATAGTTATTCATTTTCCTGGTCCCTTATTTAAGTTTTCTAGATTCCTGCTATGAGTGAGACCATCCGGTATTTTTCTTTTTCTTTTTTGGCTTATTTCGCTGAGCATGATCCCTTCCAGCGCCATCCATGTTGCTGCAAATTGCATATGTTTATCTTTTTTGAATGCTGAGTAATATTCTATGGTGTACATGTACCACATCTTCTTGATTCAGTCATCTATTTTTGGGCATTTGGGTTGTTTCCAAACTAAGCAATACTTTTACATTGTACTTCTGTGGCCAGGCAGTAGTCTGAGCACTTTGAATGTTGACTACATTAACTCATTTAATTCTCAAAATTACCCTATGAAATAGGTGTACTGTAGTTGCACCATTTTTACAAAAGAAGAAACCAGGGCACTGAGAAGTTAACTAACATGCCCCAGCTCAAAAGTGGGAGAGCTAGGATTCAAGTTGGGAGTTAAGACTCTATAGTCCTGTGTTGAAATGCTGAGGCATGCAGACGCCTAGCCACATTAGATGACTCTTTCAGGGCCTCTAATTTACTTGTTGGTTTTGCATATCTGAGTGCCCAAAATGCCAGGTCTTGTTCCAAATGCTGGGAAATGGATACAAGACAGCTAGAGCCCTTGGTCTCAAGGAACTCAGGCTCTTGACAGGTGAGCAGAAGAACTGCACCGCAGGTTTGCCCCAAATAGCATCAAGTACAGACACAGACCACACTGCTTCGTGCACTGGACCAGGCAGCCGTGACACTGACTGCTGACCTGGTCAGATCCCGTGCTCAGAGCTACACTGTTTTTCTTTTACAGGTCGCCTGGTAGGTGCTCTGGATGCAGTGCTGGATTCCAATGCCCGGGTTGCTCCATTTCGAATTCTGCTCCAAGTTCCTGGGTCCCAGGTTTATTCTCCCATCGCATGTGGTGAGTTACTGAGTGGATCAGACGTTTACTGGGCCATAGCCACGGGTGAGTTTTGTTCCAGTTGGAATATTCCAAACCTTAACATCTGAGCATGCTGAGTATCTGCATGTTGGTGACGCTTGAAGGTAACTCCCTTTAGAACCTCATCTGCTTTTACGAGCTCTTTTTCTTTAAAAAAAAAAAAACATCAAAAAGCACATAGAGGCACTGTTTTGACCACTTAGCTTGGGCATGGCAGGCTTTTGAGTGGTGTGTTGTTCCGGAGTGCTGTAGATTGTTCACTATGGGTTGAGCCATTTTCTCCTTCATCTTGTGTCGCACATAACAGATGTGTGCCTGGATGCGTGCATACACTGGTACGAGGGGAATGTCTGAGGACTGCTCTGACAGGGCAGTCTTTACCTCCTGAGAGAATCATTGGACTGCTGGGCCCCAAGGATTTAGAAATAACCTTTGCATCTTCTCCATCTGAGTTTTCAGGTTCTCTCACAGGCGCTAAGTCTCACTCATGCACCTTGGGGCTGGGAACCTTTATGTCCTGAGAAGCCCCTTACATTAAAAAACAAAGCCAAGATGGAATTTTCACTTATATAAACAATAAATGTTCACCTTCCAGAAACTAAAGACATAGGCGAGAAAGAAGGAAAAAGAAATCGCCTGTAACCCTTTATCCAGTGCTAGTCACTCTGAGGTTTTTCATTTTTGTTTTTTTTTTTTTCTTTTAACCCTAACTATAAACTCAGCTACTATAAGCTTTCAACATTACATCACATTCTTTAATAACACTGGATTATTTCTTCCAAGGAAAAATAGGAAAAGTGCAAACAAGAAAATTGTCATACATATTTTTCCCCACTCCATTTTGTTTTGTTTTTTAAATTATGACACTAATTCTATATTTGCATAAAATGATAAAATGAGCCGTGCTCAATATAAAGGAATCAATTGGAAACAGAAAAGTACAAAAAAAAATCTTACCCCATGTCCTTATCACCCAAAGTAACTTCTAGTCACACTGGTTCACATCATCCCAGACAACTTCATAATGCGTTTGGACAGCTAAGAGGAGTTATAAAGATAAATAGAAGTACCTTTATAAACATGCAGCTTCAGCTTGCTGAAAATGCTATTTTATGATAAAAATATTACATTTTTTACTTTCAATAAAAGAGACTAGAGTGAAACCAAAGAAATGTTAAACTTCAAATAAATGTTTCTTTAGCACAAGAGGTTATTTTCTATAGTGTTCACTAAGTAAGGTTAAGGGAAGAGATTTTGAAAGTATTACAAGGTTAGAATTATGGCTTTTGAAAACAATGTTTCAAATCTGAAAATGTTCATTGAATTCCTAGCCTAAGTCTCATTTTTAATTTTTTTTAAATTGAAGTATGATTGACATACAACATAATTTTAGTCTCAGGTGTACAAGACAGTTAAACACTTGTACACATTGTGAAGTGATTGTCAGTGTCTATTTACCTTCTTCTCTTAGCAACTTTCAACTTTCAAATTTATAATACCATATTTTAGTTGCCCATACAGTACATCTCCTTAGATTATTTTGTAACTGGAAGACCAATCTCTCATTTTAAGCCTTTATTACTAATTTCACACTGTAATTCCATTCTGTTCTGTTACCAGGCTTTCTATCATTGTTGCCTCAGATCTTTATTTAAGTTGACATAATGCTTTCACTCAGGTATGGCTTTCCTAATGCAGAATCTTTTATTTTGACCCCTCTCTGAATTGTCTAGATTTTCTAACCTCAATAATGCGGCACATTTGCAAATGTTTGTCTCTTGCTTTTGGATTGAACAACTCCTTGGGCTGTAATATGTGGTCATGCTCGAGTTTGGTGAGCATAGCTCTAGTGTCTCAGTATTTAGTATGACCCTGAGAGAAAACTCCCCCTTGTGTGATGAGCTTTTTTCACTATACTGTTGTCATTGTTAGTTTATTAATTTAGTGTTATGTTACTGAATTAAGCACCTTATGTTGAATTCTCAAGAACTTGATGTGTGCACAAAGATGGATTTCTTTAATCTTTTGAGGAAAATTTCTTCTGTGTATGTATTATATTTTAAAAATGCATTTTATGTTCCATTTACTGGATTCTCCACTTCAGAAACATTTTGTTGGATTGCTGTCATTTGCTTTTCATTTGTTTTTCTTTGTCCCTTTTTAGCTGCACTCTCTGTGCTGTACATAACCCATTCCTCTGTTAATAATTCAGTTTTCAGCATTGTGTTTCCGACGTACTGCTCTTTTTTACTAATTTTCTTGTCATGTTATTTTGATCCTCAGCTTACTTTCCTAGGTCTCTGATCTGTTTTTCACCATCTCATCTTTGAGCTCTTGTTTTATAGAAGTCATGTTCTTTTTTTTTTTTTTTTATTTGTTTGTTTGTTTTGTTTTTGCTTATACATGCACTGGGTACAGTCAGAAGCTCGGGAGGGTGAGAGAATTCACCAGAGCCAGAGTGGGGAGCAGAGCAGGCAGAAGGACCGAAGGACACTGCTGAAGGGAGCAGCGGGCGGCAGGAGAGGTCTGCACGCCATGTGGGACCCTCCTCCAGTGGCCGGGGAGCAGCCAGGGATTGAACCGGCGCCACAGAGGCCGCAAGCAGCTTTGCAACCCAGCGCTCAACCGCTGCGCCACCGGGGAGGCCCAGAAGTCATGTTCTTATTGTATTGTTTTGGGTTATGAAGCATTTATGAGAATTTCCTTTCTTTCCTCATTTTCTTCTAGGACAGACTAGTGGTCCTTTGAATGCCTTGCTCTAGCTTCTTTTTTTATTTATAATAAGCTTGTTTTTTTGCTGTGGAGCGTTTGCTGGGTTCCTGTGCTGTTTCTCCTCACCTTGTTCCTGCTTGGTTATTATCCCAGACTGACCATTGATTTGCACTAACATGATGTGACTTAAAAAACATTTATTAATTTACTGTTGGTTTACAATAACACGTAAGTTTGGGAGTACAGCTTCACACCTCTGTAGGTGTATATACCACAGCACATGAGTGTGACTTTTTAATTCATATTTTGGGCACAGAGTGTAACCAGAAGACTGGGGTTTGGGCCACCTGTCACCACCAAATGCCAATAAAGTAGAGACAGGAATTGAAACTTTAAAGTACGCTTTACTCAGACAGCCAGCAATCTGGAAGACGGGGGAGGTTAACACACTAAAGAAACTGCCTTAACACTTCATTTACAGCTGCCTTTTTATAGTGAGTTGAACAAAGAGACTTCAGCAGTCAGCAGGCCTTCACCACTGCCAGGATGTCCAGTCCCCAGAGCTCCTTATCGCCCTCCTGGACACCTGGCCCAGGCTCGTCCCACTGTGCGAGGCTAGTCTTCAGATAGCGCTGGCTCCCTGCCCTCCTCCACACATGTCCTTGGGCTGGAAAATTGACTGAGAGCGGACAGGCCATAAACCATATGTGTGTGCAGATTTCCTACTACACCATGCAGAGTGTCTCACCCAATCTCCTCCCCCTCCCTAACCCCTATCAAGAGCAGAGAGGACAGGTGTACTGCTACACTGTACTTGTGATGTAGAGGAGCAAGACCTCTTTCTTTCTCTTGTTTCTCCCCAGTTTCTCTCTTCTTGCCCACCCTAGGCAAAAGAGTTGACCTCACCATGAATTCGGGGATTTTGATGGGAATATTCAGATTGTTGTCTCCACTAGATTGGCTTTTGAGGGGTAGGTAGGAGGGGGAATTAGTGCACAGATCTGCTCCGTTCCTGGGTGGGAGTCCTCCCAGAGAGGTCTGTAGTCCAGCTGGAGCTCCTGGAGTACTCGGAAATCAAATGATAAAACATAGCTCTTTAATTTTTTATTGATAGAATGTTGGTTTATTGTTGGGATTTTGGAAGTATAGGTTTCCCCTTCAGGTGTATAGTGCACCCACCCCCAAATCACCCATAGTCCACCACCACGGTCCATTGTGCTTCCTCCCCACTTTGTTCTTACCCTCCCCCTCTGAATGCTTCATTTCTGTAGTCCGCTTTCACCGCTTGGTTTGTAAGCTTGTCTTTATCTGATCTTCTGTTTGGTTTCTCTGTATTCCACATATAAGTGGAACCATCTGGTATTTGTCTTTTTCCTTCTGAGTAATTTCACTTAGCATAATTCCTTCCAGCTCCAACGACTATATACCATTCAACCTTATGGCTGTAGCTGAATTTACTAATCCAATTCTTTATTAAATACTTAAATGGTTCTGATTTTTCAGTGTTTAAAAAATGTGAACATCTGTGTACTTAAATGTTTCAAGATGCATGCAGCCCCCAAAGTCTATTCATTTGAAACGTTTGGTACCAGATAGGTGCTTGGTGTCTGGGATTCTCTGTAGCGTGTGGACAGGTGGTCTCCCTCTACTGGGCTTTACAGGCTGTGGGGAATACAGTTAGCACCCGAGAAATGGAGGTAGGTGGAATGAGAATTAGGAAGATGAGAGAGGACAACACCCTTGAGGAGCACGTAATGAGGAATTGCTGCATCAAAGGGATGGAACTTTATAAGAACATGCATGTGCACATGTATGTGGGCCAGTTGTCTACCATAAAGGTGCAGCAGCTTAGATGACTCCCTACCTCCTAGCAGTGTAGTCATCCTGGGCAGATTGAATCCCTAGATCTATCTTTCTGTTGAGTCAAGGTCTGCTTCTTTTAGTTTTTACTTGGCTAAATTTTTGCCTTGAACCTGACATATGGCGGATGCTTCATTTTCTTCTGTAATCTTATAGAAAGTTCTCTCAGTAAGTAATTGACTTCCAGTGCAGCATTCCTTAGGTTAGGTAAAAGAGAATGGTAAGGGCATTTGTGTCTTGGGCTTGTGGTATTGATTTAGATACTTAGCCCTCTTCTGGGAGTTACTTAGGCATTTTGTGCTGTGTTATTGACTCACCATATTTAATATTTTATTGTGTCTTGAGCTTTGAGAAAGGATCCCTGCTCAGGGTTTCATGTCTCAGATAGAGCATAAACAAGAACTGTA